TGTTTTGGATATTCATATTGTTTTAACTCTACTTGTAATTAGTTATTGCAGGGGTTACTAATTCATCATCTGAACCCGATCGAAATGCAGGAACATTAAATATTTATCACTCGTCAACGCCCAGCGGCCTCTATACCACCGTGTTTACTTCTAAAACCAATTTAACAGCTGATTGTTATTTCTGTTAATATACAAAATACCTGTTTACTTTCATCAAGTTGTCTCTTTCTATTTCCATTCTCTGTTTTGGTATATTTTCATTTAATTTGTACGTGTATCCCCTTAAAAATCTATGTGGGACATATTCACGCAGGAATATTGACTGGGACCTATTTACCTCCATGATGACAGTGAATTCTAAGGCACCACTACATAGGTAAATGTTTAACAGTTTTATTTCATGTATAGTTCTGTCTTAAAACAACCATTTATTTTTTTGAAAAACAATTTAGCTAAATACAATTCGTTCTTTTTATTAACGCTAAAAATAATTCTTAAAGCACTCTAGTAAGCCAGACAACATAATGTGGCTGAATATTACTAAAATCTGTATAGAGGGAGCGAATTTGTTGCACGTGGGTCGGTCACGTGCAGTTCATGTCTTCTGATCATTTTAAGTGACCCGTTTTATTGTACCAAATAATTTAGTCAAATATATTCCGTGATCACACATATGTTTGTGATTGTGTGTGTGTGTGTGTGTGTGTGTGTGTGTGTGTGTGTGTGGTGTGTGTGTCTATGTGTGTGTGTGTGTGTGTGTGTGTGTGTGTGTGTGTGTGTGTGTGTGTGTGTGTGTGTATGTGTGTGTGTGTGTGTATACAGTGATGGGCATCGATACACAGAATTGTCGAAAACGATACTGATACATCAATGCTTGAAACCTGGCAAAAGCACTGACAGTTAAAGTGATACCGACACCAATATATGTATCGTCAATACTTTGTTGACAGAATATATCCCCACACCGTCTCCGAGACAGTCCATTTTACAAACCATTATAGATTTTATATGGTTTGTTCATATCAGATGTGCCTGCATTTGTTTAATAATACCAGATGGTACTGTTCATTTTTCTTCTTTTTCCAGTGATCCATAACTGACCCTCATAATCTCAACGGCCACTGAAAACATTTTTTTAAAAGGATATAATTGGTACTGCATTAAATGGCTCTTCATGGGGAAGTGCTAGTTTTGCTAACTGATCCACCTCGTAACAGGTTGATATTCTTCAATGAGAGAGCATCCAGTATAGCGATACGTATATCTTGTCCTGATAGGCG